ATTTATGGTTAATGTAATTGAATAAACAAAAGGTGTACAAATGAAACAACAGGTAACCTAACAAGTAAATACCTAAATAAATAAGTGACAAATGACAGAGATAAGTCTACTTTGTCACAAGCTCCTTAAAGAATAGAGACACTCTGTGGACAGCTTAACCTCAAACTCAACAGTTTAGAAGTGTTTCCCTTGCCTCTGTGGGTACTGTAGTGCTCTAGTGTGTTGTATTTTGCTTGTGTGGGGCTTAGTGAGCGTGGATTATCCTGGCTACAGTTCCAGTTTAACAGCCAATAAACACCTCATGGATCATAAAATATAATTTCCTTCCAGAATACAAAGTTTCTAAGAAGACAAAACCATGTCGTATATGCTCATATAATTGGCAGTTCTGACAGCACAAATAACATGTAATAGAGGCTCTTTAATCACAGAGCCTTCATGTCAGGACATGCTTAGAGCGTCTGTTTTCACTCAGATTATGACTTGCTTCTTTTACGATTGATTGATAACTGGCAATAAAATAATTTGACATGAAAGAAGCCCACTTACCCAGACTGAAAGTATTTGTGACACTCCAAAGTTGACAGACCTATCTGCCTGCTATAACTGTATTTTTATGCATTCATATATTGAGACTTAAACAGAGATGGTATGGATGGTCCCAGCATGTGCCACTCAAATAATGCACTTCTTTTTAAAGGTACTCTGTGGATTTCTTTGATAAACAACGTTTGGTTTACATTCAGTGTTTCTCACTTTTATTCACTCACATTGTGTTTCCAGGGACAGATTGGAAAAAAATGTCTTAGAAAAACGAGCCCAATTTATACAGCCCAAGTCACATTTTACAGGAATCCTTAATTGTCTGAAGGACAAACTCAGGGAGAAGAAGTCCCTTCCTTTGCTGCTGTTCCATAACCAGTGAGCTTTATAGCTAATCATCCACACACAGCTACAAAGTCCTCAGCCTTTTTCTTTGGCACCAACCAGAACTTCCATATTCCTATGCATAAGCCCAACTGCACAGCCCACTGTATTACACCGCCCGTGAAGAAGAATGTAATCTGTACTATTTTGAAGCAAGGTGTTTCCTCTTGTTAAACGCCTACTCTTTGTCTCTCGCTGCACGCTACAACAAAAAAGTACTAAAGAAGACAGAAGTGTTGTGTCCATGTTGCCCTGTTTAAACCACTGTAGTCCTGGTATTTAGTGGTAATAGAAATAAGATATTTAATCACAGTATAGATTTAAAATGGTACACATGCACATCTCTACAATATAACTTATATGGTCTAATGTTTTAAAACAAAAATTACAATAAATCATAGTTGTGAATGGTAATATTATATTATTATTATTATGGTTATAAGGAGTTCAGTCTAAACCTGCTCTATTTGAAAA